ATACTACTATTATTGTTGTTATTGTTGTTGTTGTATTATTGTTATCTATAATTTATACAATTAATCTTTCTATCGTTAGACCGTGGTCTTGCCGGGTTATTTATTATTTCGACGCTCCTCCACTTGAGAGAACACATCAATCTTTTAGTCGTGTCAAGAACCTAAAAATAGGTAATAATAACCATAAAGGGGGAGTAATACGCATTGAATGTTATCTTGAAATATGGTGCCAGCCACTGAAAAGCACCGCTGCAAGGGCACAAAAGCCTTCGACAAGCGCCAACAACTTTTTTTATAAAAAAAATAATTTACGCAAATATTCAATTGTCCCTAAACTCACATAATATTAAAAAAAAAAACATAACAAAAAGACAAAAACAAAACTCTTAATCTTAGCTATAGATTATTTGACTTAAAAGGCACTTTAATAAATCCACTATGCCAATAAAAATAAAAAACTGAATACACTCATGCTCTTATAGTTAAGGAATTTCAAGTTTTGAGCGTATTTTAGACATTACACTATACAAATAAAAAGGTTAAAAGACTCATCTACCCATATTCAATAATGTAATAGTAAATGTGTCACGTGTAAAATACTATATTATCTTTAAATGTATGCTATAAGACTTAAATTGTAAATGACAAAATGGTAATTTTACTATAGAAATTTATAGTGAAATATGAGCTTGTGTACAGTGAAACACCGAGTTCTTTTAGTTTTTGTTATTCATGTCTACGCTACACTGCAAGTTTATATCATTTTTTCAATTAAAAACTTAGGTGTTGCTAAGATGTTTTAAAAAAAATAAAAGAAATTCAATAACTGTTATAGTCCTAACCAACTAAATAAGCTTGCTTTATTTGAATCATACAGGGAAAAAAAGAGACAATGATAGCAAATAGGAAAACATATATATATATATATATATATATATATAAACTAATCAATGAGAACTAACATAAATAAATAAATAAATAAAATAATACATGATTAACTTAGTTTAAAAGTTGAAATTAAAAAAAAAACTCCTATAAAAGAGTTAAGGAAAAAAATAAAAAAATAAGAATAAGGATCAAATTGAAAATACCAATACATGATTAAAAAAACTTGAATATGTAGAATTTCTCAACGTGTTTTTTTACATAAAAAATCATAAATATAAATTGAAAAAGTTATGCACAAGTCCAACTAAATAAATCACGAACCATTGTGTAAATAAATGAAAAAAACATAATTAACGCTAAATAAAAACATAATTATGAAAATCAAGAGAACAAGTAGATCAAAATATTTAATATCGTAACACAAGTTATTTATCTAGTTATGTTTAATGAATTTATTTATGAAAATTAATTTTTAATAGAGATCGACACACGCATAATATTTATTGAATAAAACAAAAGAAGAAGAAAAATATTATATAAAGTTGCACATATTAAAAATCTTATCAAAATAAATATTTAATCCATATAAAATATACAAAAAATTTATAGATGAATCATATTAACCTATGAAAAAAATTAAACACACTCGAAATAATTAAAAAATAACCTATATTCAACAAAGTTTACAAAAACCCAAAAAACATAGAGAATGAATATTAATTAAAACATAAATTTAAGAATTATATTAAAATATATGTATAAAAAAACCATTAATATAGAATAATAATTTCTTTAAAAAAAGCAAAAAGATCAAACATTATTGGGTTTGGTAAGTCAGGCCTAGCACCTAACTCAATAAAAAAGAAAGCAGGTTTGTTACAGTAAACAATGTGTCATCTAGAAATTTCAAAATTCAGTAATTGGTGTAGCTGAAATAATAATAAAAAATTATTCAAAAATTAATTGTAACACAAAACACCTAGAAAACATTCTAGAAACCTTATTAAATTAATCCATGGCCTCCAAAAACAAAAAAAAAAACAACTTAAAACCTGAAATCAAAAGTCTTCTTAAGTCTATATTTATTTTTTAGGTATTTTCAAGATAAAAAAAAAACAATTAATATTAACTCTCCTCATTATATATAGAATTTTTTAACATAAAAATCAACTATTTTACTTATCAAAATTTAAATTTTCCGTAATTATATATATATTATAGGACTGACTACTCAAAAAATGATGTAATTAAACTATAATTTGATCTCAAAAGAGCTCGGTTGTAAAAAAAAATCAACAATCAAATTAAAAAATAAAAATTCAGTGCAAGGTTTAGTTTTTGTTAATAATATAATATACAGGCAGGCTTTAGGCCTTTCGTAGGGAGTATATGTGAAGACCCATTGGTTCTCCCCTGCTCATGGGCTACCAATGCCTGTATGTATCCTATTAGTATGTATACTCCTACTTCCAAATAGCAATGATTTGTACTGCCAAACAGAGCCTTAGTTAGATTCTTCTAAGGCTATGTTTGTTTCCCGGAAAACAGTTTCCGGGAAACCATTTTCCAAACTTTCCTGTGTTTGTTTGTCATTAGGAAAGTTGGTCAACGGAAAACATTTTCCGGTCAATAAAAAACACTTTTCAGTCAACGGAAAACACTTTCCGGTCAACGGAAAACACTTTCTGGTCAACGAAAATATTTTTTAGTAAAAAAAAAAATTTGCTTAATTTTCAGGAAAGTGTTTTCCTTTTTTCAATTTCATTATTATTCAACTTTTTAATTTGTAAGATTTATTCCTTATTATTTTAATAAACTTGAGAAAAATAAAATATTAATAAATTATTTTCCATGACATAACCAAACACTGGAAAGTGTTTTCCAGTTCATTTTCCATAACACTACCAAACATCGGAAAATACTTTACTTTTCAGGAATACATTTTCCCCGGAATTCACTTTCCAAAAGAAAACAACTTTCCTGCAAACAAACGGGACCTAAAATGGAAATTGTAATAAACCCTTCTGTCCGTCACCCACCAAAGTGTCCCAACTCAGCTGTCCTTCATTTCCAGCCTCTTCTTTCCTTTTTTACCCCCACCAAAGAAGCATCCTCCCTGCCATTACCAATATCAAAACCAGTCCTTCTTTCTTCTCCGACATGACAAAACAGTCCTTCCATTTCTCAACATAAGCTCCCAATTTCAATGACCATAAAACCCTCCATTAATTTCCGTGACTCTCCGTGCCGGACCACGTATCTAATGACCATAATACCCCTCATTACAATCCCCCTAAACAAACACCGATCTCCCTCCTTAGATGGCCAGAACACCCTCAACATCACACACGCTCCCCTTCTCCAGCACAAAAACACAGCACTAGGAGACCAGGTTTCAGAATGACCAAAAGAACCCCTCCTCAAGTCCCTTAAAGAAGACAGTTTACGTAGTTCTTTGAAACCACCCGTCCATTTTCGTCCAGACAATATATCCACCCCCCAATTTTCTCTCCTCCCTCTCTCCCCTCTGCCCTTTAAAAGAAAAGAAGACCAATAAAATTTTTAGAGAGAGAGAGAATAATTTTAGAGAGATAAACGAAAAGAAATGGATGGTAGCAGCAGCGGAGGCGGAAACGGTTACAGAGTAGAAGCAGAGCGGTGGTTAACTATATCGGAGAAACTCTTAGCAGCACGTGACTTGCACGGGGCTAAGAGCTTCGCGATCCGAGCCAGAGCATCCGACCCGAGACTCTACGAATTCTCCGATCAAATCATCGCCGTTGCCGACACTCTTCTCGCCGGAGAGTTACGTGTCGAGAACAATCACCACTATGATTACTATATGATTCTCCAACTCGGTCGCTTGACCCAGGATCTCGAACTCATTGCGGATCAGTATCGGAAGCTCGCCTTGTTGCTCAACCCGACGAGGAACCGGCTACTCTTCGCTGATCAGGCGTTCAAGCTTGTGTCGGAGGCCTGGATTGTGCTTTCGAATCCTGCTAAGAAGGCAATGTATGATCATGAGTTACAACTGAGTCAGCTCGGTCTTCTCGTGACTCAGCAACCGCTACCTCCACCATTTCAACAGCAACTGCCGTCTAATCCTGAACCGATTCGGCCTGTCCCGCAGTTCAGTATGCCATGGATGCCTGAGTCGTCAATTCGGTTCCCCTCTCAGACCAAACCCGCCGAGTCACCTCGTTCACAGACTCAGCAGAGAAATCCCGAGCCAACTTGGCGACAGCCTCAGCAGAAACCAATTGAACCGCCTAAGCAGCCTACCCCGCCGAAGGCCGCCACTGAGCTAAATAAGCAGCCAACTCCGTCTAAGGCTCCCAATGAGCCAACTCGGCAGCCTACCCCGCTGAAGGCTGCCACTGAGCTATATAAGCTGTCAACCTCGTCTAAGGATCCCAGTGAGCCTACGCCGCTGAAGTCTTCCACTGAGCCAAATAAGCAGTCAACTCTGTCTAAGATTCCCACTGAGCCAACTCGGCCAGAGGTTGTGATTGGGTTATCTCGATCAGCGCCAAAACCGAGTGCCACTGATTCGAGGCAAGCGATGAAGCACACAACCGCCTTCACCGCTGCTGCTGCAACTGGGACAAAGCATGCGAATGCGAGTGAGCCAGAGTTATCGAGTTTTTGGACTGCGTGTCCTTATTGTTATATACTTTACGAGTACCCTAAAGCTTACGAGGAGTGTACTCTAAGGTGTCAAAGTTGTAGAAGGGCATTTCATGCTGTCATGGTACCAGCACCACCGGTGACTGGTAAAGATACATACTTTTGCTGCTGGGGTTTTTTTCCGTTGGGTTTTTCAGGTAATAATGAGAAAGGAGGTAATGAGTTTGGTAGTAATTGGTCTCCGTTTTCTGCAATGTTTTCCACTCCTTTCCCAGCTGGTGGTGCTGTTGGTAGTGGTGGTCAAATGTATAATAAAGTGAAGCAAAAGGTGATTTATAAAGATGATGTGTATATAGATATCTCTGACACAAGTGAAGATGAGTCTGATTCCGGTGATGAGTGGGGTGTAAAAAAGAGAAAGAAACGAAAAAATGCAAAGGGGAAAGGAACTCCGAATAAACATGCGAAAAAATCACAAAATGAAAGATTGAAGAAGGGGGTAGGAGCAGGGGCTGGAACAGAAAATATTCAAAATGAGGTTGGTGATGGTGGGGGTAGTGTGCCAGAGGAGGTGGTGGAAAAGGGGGAAGGGAGTTGTGGCAAAAGGAAGGCAGCAAAAGATTTGGGAAAGTTGGACTTGAATGTGATGTTTAGTAATGAGGTGGATGAGTCTGCACCTGGACCAAGTCAAAGGAATGGGCCTGGGCATGGGGAGGAGGATAATATTGAAGGGATTAGTTTTTTTGAGGGTCTTGATGAGTTTTTAAGTACCTTGCCCATACTTTCGGTTGTAGGGGATGATAAGGTGAAGGCTACTTAGCGATGTAAGGCACTTCCTTTTTGTTGTTCCTTTGTTGTCGTAGCAGCTTGCTGTAATGTTGTAGTATAATCATGTAGAGTTATTGGCATTTTGTCTGCACAACTGCCTTGTAGTTGAAATCTAATCTTTATTTTGCAGGCATATTGGCTTTTGGGCATTTTGTTTGCAGAATTGCCTAGTAGTTGAAATCTAATTTTATCTTGGTTGATTTAGTTACTCCTTAACTATCTGGAATGGTTTGTTTCGTCTGTTTGGACTTTGATGTTGGTGAGTGTTTGGTTGCAAGTAGCAGCGCAAAATTCAGTTCAGTGAATGACTGAGAGGTTTGTCATGACTGAAACTTGGATAGTATTTTATCTATTGCATGAATTCTTTTGCATATGTGCCTTAAGTTTTGTCTTGTGGTGATTTGCTATTCTTTTATTTCTTTGTTTCCATTGGCCTTTGTGAACAAGTTTGCTTGCACTTTCTTGTGTTGTTTTGTTCCTCCAATTGATTGATTGCTTTTTCCAGATTTCCATGGTTACCCTTCCTGATAGTTGCGTGATGAACTAAAGGAAGTGAGTAGATGAGATATGGTAGTCTTTAGTGTCCACTTATACTTGAATTTAATGCCTTCTGTTTTCATGCTCTGTTTTAGTGGTAGATTTTAAATGAAAGGTAGAAACTTAAACGATAAGATATAGAGTTCAGGTTTCCATGAAATTTAAAAGAGAGAGGATGTCACAACTGCAACTTACTGTGCTCCTGTGTAATATAAATTTGGAAGTATGTTAGAACTTCTTAGTTGAAATAGTGCCTTTAGCGAAACTAATCTACTTATTTTACACTTTCAAGGTACACCAGCGAAGCACATTCTAGGACTCTAATAGAAATAGCACTTTTAGGGGAGATGATCTCATGTCATACTTTCAAGTCTGGTAAGTTGATTAGCAAAAATTGACTAATAACAAAAAATGAAAAGCCAAGTCATGTAGTTTAAAGCCCAAAAGTGTATCAAAGACAACAAACTCTGGAGTGCTACTTGTTGCATGTAATTGAAAGCTACAGGGTCTATTAGCAATGGAATGCTGAACTTTTTGGAGCTGCTAATCGGATGGGGGGCTTTTTTGCCTGAATGCAGGGCCTGTAGAGATAGACTGCACTGCAGCAGCTGAGTGTTCCAGTTGCTACTTGCAGAGCCCTCACCCACTAGTGTTCATATTAGCCCCGTTAACTGAAGACCTAATATGCAGAGGATTTTCGTTTGTTAGACATTTCAGAACTAGGAAATTTCATTATAAAATGGAGTAAAGGTGGTTGATTTTTCAGGATTTCTTTCGAAGTTGCTAAATGATTTCCATATTGAAAAGCATGTGAAGTCGCTAAACTGATTGAATGGTGTAAAATACAGTTTTGAGTTACTCCTCAATTTTTAATCCTGGTGCTGCAATAACAGATGCATGCTATCTGCAACCCTATTAACTTATCCCAGGCCAGAAACCTTGCATTCCCTTTGTGTTAGGCTTCTACTCTTTCTCATGGATTTACCAAGTTGTGGACAGCTATGCTTTTGTGTACCTGGTGAAGTGTTGCATTTTGTTCTAGTCTTCCTGCATTTTTATCCTTGCTGCATGATCAATTTTGAATTAAAATCGTGCCCAGGAGCTTGATCTTCATTCTGAAAGGCATGTAGGTTGAACAGCTCCTCAGCAGTGTATGACGCTCAAGGAATATTTTGTGAGATGATGGAAATGAGTTGCCTATAAGTGATGTAGCCCCCTGCAGTCCTTTTTCATGAGAAGTGGCCGTGGACTCATTTGGGCTATCCAGGTATCATCTGCTGCTCTCACTCCCAGACATGAGGTTTCCCTGTGAAGACAGTGAACGTGCAATTCTTAAACGTGCGCCTGAATAAGCTTTATTGTCCATTGATGACAGTTAACTTTTCCAAAATATAGTTTCTGTGCCATTAATCTACCTTTTAGTTTCCCTAAGATGCATCTTCTTCCTCTGCCGAGTATCATTTAGTCTTATCCTTCCCTTGTTGTGATTGCGCAACCATCCTTACCCACATTTTGTTTGGTGCTACTCATCAAGCAGCTGGGTTTACGTTTTGCCACTGACAGAATTAATATATACATGCTCTCTCTGTATGCTGCTCCATCATTGCATGGTAGACCATAGCGTTCATTTTCAAAGTTTTGCATGCCTGCACATGATCTGATCGATATATTAGCAGACCATGCAGCGTCGTGACAATGGCTTCTCCCATCCCCCAACTTCTCGTGTGTGAGGAACAATGCAGCCTGTGATTGGTAAGATTCCCTGCCCACCTTTGTACAAGGTAACAACAACATTTTTCTTATGTCCAGTTGCAAGCTTTCAAGATTGATCCCGTGTGTTTTTGTCGTCCTCGTAGTCCTGTCCATGAAGGACTGGTCTTTTTTAAAGCTTTTTATTATTTATCGGTGGCGCAAGCACACGCTGACAATCACGGTTGCATGCATGTTTTGGCATCAAGGCATGGTTTTTATCGTTTAATGGCTTGTCAACATGAAATGTCTTTCTGCGTGATTAGCAGCTAGAGACGAAGGCTGCTCCTGTGTATATAGTAGACTGGAGGAAGTCGTTAAATTAAGAAACAGGAGTTGCATCCCGTGAAGTCATTGATTTCTAGAGGTTAGTGAGCACGATTCTCCTTGTGTGCTTCCCTTCATGCTTTTGCTTAGAGCATGCAATAAAGAAGAAGTGCGTGGAAGCAGTGTTACCAGTGTAGCATGTTTCTTAATTTTGGGTTTTTTTTTTCAACTTTTAACTTTAGCATATCAAAATTAAAAGTTTTAAATTAACTTGTATGATCCTACGGGTCTACAATTTAATTAAATATAGAGAGGAGTCAACCCACCCAAAAAAGTCTAAATCATATGACTATGCATAGGTAGCATATCTTCTTCCACATATTAGTAGTATCTCCATCTTTCGTTATGCTCATTTTAAATGCTGTCTGGGTGTCGTTATTTTAGTTGTTTTATAAAATATTTTTTATTTAAAAATATATTAATATAATTTTTTTGTTGTTTTTTTTAAATTATTTTAAATATTTACATATTAATATCTAAAAATATCAAAATAATATTAAATACTATTTTGAAGTAAAAAATAAAATAAAATTTTATATTTTTTTAAAAAATGTGTTCATGCAATTTAAATATATTAATGGAAGATAAATTTTAAAAAATAAAAAATATTATTTTAATATATTTTTATTAAAAAAAAAAAGAGAGAAATCGAAGGTCGGACAAATGGAAGGCGGCTAACCAAGGCTGAACCGTGTAGTGTGAGAAAGGTGGAATTGTTGAAGGGTCCTATGTACTAGGTGGTGCGTAGGTTTGACAGAACATAAATGGAGTGAGGATGGTCCCCGCCCCGCCCCGCCCCACTTCACTTCAATTCTTTAATATTTTTTTCGTTGTGTGGTCTCTTGTCAGAACCATAAATCACTTTCCAACAGGAGTAATTTCTGTGCTGTGAGGTCCCCTTCTTTGACCTGTGAACTCTGTGTGTACATGATTATGTCTTCTCAAATGTGTGTTTTTTCTATATATTTTTTGTTTAAAAATATATTTTTTTTAGTTTTTTGATATAAATATATTAAAATTACCAAAAACAAATACTAAAAAATTAATTATAATAATTTTTGAAGTCATAACCACTTTTAATGTCATTGCTGTTGGAAGTTGAATTCCATTAACACACCCACCGGGTGGGAAATGTTGAGTTTATCCACGTTATAGTAGTATCTTTGTTTTTGTTTTTCCGGTTTGTTTTTGTATTTTAAAAATATTTTAAATAAATTTTATTTTAAATTAATATTTTTTTATGTTTTTAGATTATTTTGATATATTAATATTAAAAATAATATTTTAAAAATAAAAAACATTAATTTGTTATATTTACAAGTGAAAAGCAAATAGAAGAAATCTTACATCAACAGTGATACGCACGATACTTCCTGTGATTTATATAATCGTGTTTAAGAAATCGACCTGACCAATGCCTTAGCAAGATCACCATTATGTGATTTTGTGCCTTCAAGAAAGCGACTTAATTTGTACTTTAGCTTGATCATCTTCAAATTAGCATGAAACTATGATAACTTGATTAGTTGCTAATTTTCTGATGATATAGGTAAAAAAATTAATTTATTTTCATCTTGGTTTCTTATCAATTTATCTGATAATTAGTTTTTTTTAAAAAAAAAAAAAAATTCATTTCCTAAGCTATGAACAACAACCAATACTAAGGAGAAAAGCGAAGATGAAAATACCAATATGAAGTTATTGGTTTTGTGATGGAAACCAAACCTCAAAGTGGCTTATTATGTGTGTTTGATAATATGATGTAGAATGTTATTCAAAATTAAAAATATATTAAAATAATATTAAATTATAATTTATTTTTAATATCACCACATCAAAATTAATGAAAAGTATTTAAAAATATTAATTTAATTTTTTTAAAAAAAATCATTTTGAAAAATAAAAATTACTACAATACCACAAAGTAAATTGGATAAATTAATTGAATTGGATAAATTAAGAGACAAGGGAGTTAAAGAATCATTAGGAAGGTTGGCATTTGACACTGTCATGTTGTTGGGTTTTATATGATGAAATCACTAATATTTAACAAAATCTGAGATGCGTGGACTTTTCATTGTAGTAATTCACAAGGAAATTTTTTATTATTTAGCTTTTAAATTTTATTTCCCTTTAATTGCATTCTTGTGTGCCTCTAATTTATGAAAAATTGTTAAGTGGGAACAAAATTAAAAAAGAGGGTACCAAAGTTTCAAAAAAAAGAGGAAAAGGAGTGGCATTATAAAAAAAATGTTGCGAAAAAATCACTCTATTCCTTTTGCTCTTTATAATATAGCTTTTCGATCCCTTAATATTTCAAAATTTTATTTGTGGTGTAAAAAATTATTTTTCTTACTCTTCAAGTTCTCATTTAAGAAAGGAGAAAGAAAGTTATTACATTTTAATGATAGAAAAAAAAAATCTTAGTTGAGACTAATTTAACTCATAAAAATAGTTGATTTTATTGCCAATAAATTTCATTTGCTAGGACGAGTCTCACCTAGGTATTATTTGGCCTTTCCATTAATTAAAATGAAAGTTCTCAAATGAAATTATTTTTTTGTTTTGGATTGATTTTGAGTTCATAGACAAGTTTTTGAGTAATTTTAGGTTATATACGGGTTTATGACAATGTGCATTGTATCTTATGAGTGTGTTTGGGTTAAAAGTTAATTAAAAATTAGGTTTTTATGTAAATAAACTAACATCAGTTTTCTAGCCACCACTATGATCAGAATATGGAGAAAAAATAAGTGATGGGTTGCCTGACTTTTTTTTTTTCAAAATACTTTGGGGTGGACATCCGCTCCATTTCCATATAAATAAATAAATAAATAAAGGTCCACGTGTATGGGTTTTTTTAAAATAGGACTAGCCTTTTAAACCTAACAACATCTAACCTTTGTTTTTTATTTTAAAGATATAACACATTCATTTGTATCTTTTTTTATGCTGGTGTTTAGTTTTGAATTGTTTGTGATCTAGGCTATATTTGTTTTTGTAATGCATCATAGTAAAATATCAATTTGATGTTTTTGTTATTGTGCACATGTTCATATTGCACCGTAAAAATAAAAAGGTCTTTAATGTTTTAATGATAGTTTGTATGGTGTTTTATGAGTGTGAATGGGTTAAAAATGGATTGAAAATGAATTTTTAAATAAAAAACACTAACATCATATTTTTAACCACCATTGTGATTCGGAATATAAGAAAAAATAGGTGATAGGTATCCTGAATTTTTTTTAAAAAAAACTTTGGAGTGGACATCTACCCCGTATCCAAATAAATAAAGGTTCACGTACTTGTACTTTTTTCAAAATAAAACTAGCTTACAAAACCCACAAGCATCTGACCTCTGTCTTTTTTTTTTTTTTAAGAATATAACACATCCACTTGTATTTTTTTAACGCTAGTGTTTAGTCTTGAATTGCTTGTGATCTAGGCTATGTTTGTTTTTGTAGTGCATCATAGTAAAGTATCAATTTGATGTTTTTGTTATGGTGTACAATGTTCATACTACACCGTAAAAATAAAAAGGTCATTAATGTTTTAATGATAGTATGTATGATATTTTATGAGTGTGAATTGGTTAAAAATAGATTAAAAAATGAACTTTTATATAAAAAAAACACTAATATCATCATTTCAGTCACCATTGTGATTCAAAATATAAGAAAAAATAGGTAATGGGTCGGCTGAATTGTTTGTGGTCTAGGCTATGTTTGTTTTTGTAGTGCACCATAGTAAAGTATTAATTTGATATTTTTGTTGTGGTATACAATGTTCATATTGCACCACAAAAATAAAAAGATCCTTAATATTTTAATGACAGTGTGTATGGTATTTTATGAGTGTGTTTAGGTTGAAAATGGATTTTTATATATAAAAAATACTACTATCATCTTTTCAGCCACCACTATAATCGGAATATAAGAAAAACTAGGTGACTGGTCGCTTGAATGTTTTTTACAAAAAACTATGGGGTGGACATCTATCCAATTTTTAAATAAATAAAAATCACGTGTTTGAGCCTTTATCAAAATGGGACTAGTTTACCAAACCTAATAACATCTGATCTTTGTTTTTTATTTAAATAATATTTTTTAAAGATATAACATATCCACTTGTGTCTTTCTTAATTCTTGTGTTTAGACTTGAATGGCTTGTGGTCTAGGTTATGTTTATTTTTGTAGTACACTATAGTAAAGTATTAATTTGATGTTTTTGTTGTGGTATACAATGTTCATATTGCATGACAAAAATAAAAAGGCCCTTGATGTTTTAATGATAGTGTGTTTGATATTTTATGAGTGTGTTTGGGTTAAAAATGAATTTTTATATATAAAAAACACTAACATCATATTTTCAGCTACCACTATAATTGAAATATAAGAAAAATTAGGTGATAAGTTGCCTAAATTTTTATTTACACAAAATTTTAGGGTGAACATCCGCTCAATTTCTAAATAAATAAAGATCCATGTGTTTGGGTCTTTTTCAAAATAGAACTAGCTTACCAAACCTAATAACATCTTACTTTTTTTTTTTAAGGATAT